ATTTCTAATATTTGTTTTTTTTACAAATTAAAAAATAATTTAACTTAAATTTAATAGTTTTAATAAAAATATTCATAAAAACACTACCAACAAACTATACATATTTTTATAATTATATTAATATCAACTATTAAAATGGATAGTTGTTGAAAAATTAAATGGGTTTTATATCCACCATTATTTTTTTTCAAAAAACTTTTATGAAAACTTAAAATTAAGATAAACAAGTTCAAATAATCAAACTCAACACAAACAACAGAGATGTGTTTGTGTTGAGTTTTTGCAAATCCCCATTACCGTTTGGCAATTTTATTTATTTATTTATTTATACACATAGCGCATATAAATTAACAATTAGATAATGCAAATTACGCGCGAATAATGTTTGTTTGTTTTTTGTGTTATTTATTATGTTTAAGTGGATGATAAATACAATTTATTAACTATTAGAAATGGGTTTAAAGTGGATATAAATTATTGATTTCTTATTATTATTTTTATGGTTAATAAACTGAATAACAATCTATAGTTTAGATACTATATTAAACTAATCAGTAATTAATATTTTGAAGTATGTATTAGGAAGTGAACCTTATATTATATTTTTTAATCTAAACATTTAATAAATTATATTAAAACTAAACCTAATATGTGTTCAAAAGCTTATTAATCACTTCATTATAAATATCAGGATAATATATATTAATTTATAATTTCCTAATAATTTATATTTGTTATTTAAGGTTAATTTCATGTTGTTTTTATATTGTATTTTAATTATAAGAACATTCTTAATTAATCAAAAAACTGAGACTGAACCTTTTTTCATTCAACAGCTTTTCAAAGAAGAAAAAAGAAAATGGGTGCGGTTTTTCTCCAGGTGTGGGTTTCTCTCCTTACTTTAATAAAATAAACCTATTCAACTTAAAATAAAGCTAAAAAGTTAATAACTAATAATTAAAAATGCTATAAAAAACTAATAATAATAAAGAAAGGTTTATTTTCATATTTATATTTAAAGTTACTAACTAAATATATATTTTAAAACTATATTAAATAATTATAATCAAACTCAAAAACTCAAAAATATTTGTTGATTATTAAATATACTATATAACAAATAATATCAATACTATTGTTTTAAACTATACAAATCTAAACAATGTATTAATAATTAATTAATTGGTTAGTACATGATTTATATTTTATACTATAAACTTTATAGTTAAAATAATATATATTTATTAT